AAAAACGTGTACATAGTGGAGCAGCTTTTTTCTCTAGGGATGGGCTGACCACAGTCACTAAACCCACCCAGTTGGACCAGTTTGGGATGCTTCAGATCCAGAGATTCCAGAAGCCTTGTTCCTGCTGTGCCATCAGGCAGCCCTACTATAGTCAAACAAGTACAACTGGAAGAGGGCCAAAGGGCTTTACTTTATGCTTTCTTGAAGGTCGAACATGTAAGCCACCATGGAGCAACGAAGAAGAGGAGAGCACATGGAATTTCTTGAACTGGCCCCACATGGTTAAATTATTTTTCAAAGATTCCCACCGCAAGCTATAAAGTGCTATTTTCTGCCTCCATACACCATTCAGCACAGCCTTGACACACAAGCTCTCTCACCCCACAGATTATGACAAATACCAGTCAAGATGTCGCCAAGTTTTTCTGAGCCACCTCTGCCACTCATAAGAACCAGAATTCCTCTGTTCTTGTCCTTATTAAAGTGGAAACTGCAGAATTCCACCTGTTGCCCTATGGCCTAGATGGGGCCTCTGGCCTGAGAAGCACCAAATAAGGGGGGACTGCCGATCAGTGACCTTCCCAAGCACCAGTGCCTTCCATGACTTGGGCTGGCAGCAATCCCCGCTGCACTGTGTGACCTATGAAGGGCCAACAGGGCTCTGCAAGCACGGTGAGCAGGGCCCATCTTAGGGAGTCATGCCTACTGGAGGGTGCAGGAGGAAGAGTCCCCAAGACAGCACCAGGAGCCGGAGCATGCTGAGGAGGCCACAGGCTTGGGGGGAATGAGGTCCAAGTCCTCGTCATCTGGAATCTCATCCAGGCGATACCCATCCTGGAGCAGCTGCCGATTCACATCCTGGTTCACCTGCTAGGAGCAGGAGAGGAGAGAACTATAAGCCAGACTTCAAATCAGAAATAACTGCTGCCCTAAAAGCAGACCTACATTCTCTTACTGGAGTTCCCTGGTCACGCTCCACCCTCAGGCCAACCGCATACATCCTCGGACTACAGAAGGAAGTGCCACCTTTCCTACCTGTGCCTCACCCAGCAGTCTACAGAGCACCAGTGGCCTGGGCCAGTACTCGCCAGGCCGCACTGTCATTCACCCCCAGGAAAGCTGCTCTCTCCCTGAGGCATCTGATGTAAGTATCAAATTCCAAATTATGCTTGAAAGTCAATACCCTGACCATTCCCGCTGGGAACCCAGACTGATCCCTATGAATGCTAAAAAATATGGGACAATGACACCAGAACAATGGGGGAGAAGAGCAGAAGAGCGTGAGTTATAGAGAATGGGGTGGGGAATTGTTGCTCTGCACGGCTGGTCAGACGTGTGATCTTCCAGTGCTCGCAGAGCCTGTTCCCTGCAGAGTGGAACCTGTCAGCCTGGCTTCACCAGTTCTGAGCAGAAGGAAAATGAGGCTGGGGACAGTGTAAGACTTTCTCTGGCTCTTGGCTAATTTTTCTTCTTAGTTTTAACAATCTTAGGCACTCAATTCAAGAAAGATACAACTTACAAACTGTATTCTTTCTGATAGAAACTCAGGGGTGGCTAAGGTTTCCAGGAGAATAAGGACTATGAGCAGTGGACAGGCATGTCCCCAGCACTTCATCATGGTCAAAGGCAGCAAAAGCTGAAATGCCAGAACTTTATGCCCCGTGGTTCTGCCTGAGACAGTCACTCAGGAAACATGTCCGAAAGGCCAGCCCAGGAGGATCTCAGTCTGAGTTCCCACAGATTCAACAACTGAAGGAACAGAAGTCGTTTGGCCTGGAAGAATGCGGGCTTGGTGGAGGATGGCCAGGCAAGGGACAGGAATGCTGTCTCAGATAAAAGGCGATCACAAGGCGAACGAGAATACTGTGTGACACTGGGGGGCAGGCCTAGGGCCACTGAGTCCAGGCTGCTGGAGACGTTTTAAATTAATAAGACTTCTCCAAGAGCTATCCAAGAAGGGATTGTGTATGTGTGTATGTTGGAGGGAGGGCAGGCAGCAAAACTGCTTGGAGCTAGCGAGTAAGCGATTACAAGGAGCATGCAAGCAGAGGGGCTGGTCAACACTTCACTGGGATTTATCAGGAGGATTTCTTTTCTAAGTGGTAGCCTAGACTAGAAGACTTGAGAGGTCATTTGCAGCCCTAAGGGTGTATGGTCTGGATTTTCTACAGCCCTCCTCAGACACACCTATACCTCTGCTGGGGGAAGAGGCACAGTAGAAGACTGGGAAACAGACCAGAAGTTTGGCACAGTGCTGTGCATACAGTAGGCGCCACACAAACACTTGGCAGTGGCGGTGAAGCTGCCTGCAGCCTGGCCCCATGCAGAAGGGCGCTCTGGACTTGCCTCTGCAGAGGAATACCCGGAGGAATATCTGGTTTCCAGCTCCTCATCACTAGGAGAAGAGGAAGATGGTCAGTTCAGGGGGATGCCTGTGGAGTATAGCTGCAAATGGCAAAGGGGAGAGCATGCAAGGGGGTCTAGAGGACTTGTGAGCAAAGACCACATAACCTACAACTTAAGCCCAACATCTGCCATGAGTACAAATTGCTCCTTCAGCTGGCTCCAGCAGGGACAGGGTCACTGTCCCTAACAGCGCAGACGTAACAGGGCAGGGTGATTCCCCCATATAGGTTGGTGCCCCAGATCCAAGAGCAGCACGACCACCTAGGAGCCCTCTAACCAAGCCTTGTTGGGAAGCAGCGGTGCTCTCTAAACAAGACAGCCCAGAACATGCACGAAGGGTCTTGGAAAAGGCAGGGAACAAGCGATTTGCAGTTTTATACAAGTCACTCCTCCAAGGGTGAACTCTCCAAGGAGAACACTCACCTGTCAGAGTCGAGCGACACCAGGTTTTCATCTGGACTCTGACTAAGAGCAGTATAGCCTTTGTTAAACTTCACTGACCTGGGGGGACATAAGGGGAGAGAAGCAGCACAGATGAAGCACCAGCATTTCACAAGGGAAGCTGGAGTCCTCGCCCTTATGGGAAAGAACTGGCCACACTAGTCCCAGCTTGCTTCCTACCTGGGCCCGGCCACCACTGACAGGCGCGTATTGGGCTACAGCTCCTCGGAACGCGCGTTTACCCCCCACCGCTCCCCCGACTGCGGAGGAAAAGCACCCCCTTCCCACACCACATTTAACCAGAGAACAACAACAAAAAACCCAGCAAGTCCTGGGCAAATCCCTTCGCCTCTGAGTCTTAGCTCTGATCTGTAAAGGAGGCACCGGGTAAGGTCGTAAACAATCCTCAGAGTTTATCATTCTGTTCAAGAAAAAAACACAGCCCTGGCTGTTCCCCCACCGCCCCGTCTCCCGACTCCTGGGGATCCTAGCCACTCCGCTCCTCCAGGGATTATACGGTCAGTGATCCTGTGCACTGGCAAGGCTGTCTTATTCCCAAGGCTTTTCCCTCGACACCACTACATCCTTAAAGGAAAAGAAAAAGGTCGTTTGTTATGTTTCCCATTTTAACACCGTGAACCTGACAGTTAGGCACCAGGGGAATCACTGGTTCGGCCTTAAACTCTGTCTCCCAGCCCGAGGAGGAGGGTCCTCTCCGGTAACTGCTCGCCCAGAGGAGGCCGCGCCCGCCGAGACCTTTTCCCTGGAGAGTCGGGGCGGCTGGGCGAGGCCCCCAGCACGCGCTTTCTCCGCAGAACCGCCTTGGCCAGGTCTCGGTGCTTCTCTGGAAGTCAAAGGGGCGGGTCAGCGGGGTCTGCCCCGTCCCACCGTGTCTCCCTAACCCTAGGAACCTGCTCTTGCGAACAGATTTGCGGGGGTCGGCTGCAGGCGCCCTGCCCGTCCGGGGTCGCCCCAGCGGGGCCCCGGGGCCCGCCCCGGCAGACCCACCGGACCGCACTCACGCGGCTTGGCCTGAGCGGAAGGCGCACGCGTCACCATGTACGGCCCCCGCTTCTCCACAGCCCCCGGGGCCCGCTCGCCAGGCCGCGGAACTCCGCTGCTTCTCGCCCCGGTGGGCACCCCAGCAGCTCCCGCCGCGCGGCCCGGGGCCCCGCCCGGCTGAGGTCGCGGGACAGAAGCCCGCGCGCCGAGCATGCCGGCTCCCGCGGTAGCCATACCTGGCCCCGCCCCTCTGGACCGCGGGGCCGCGCCGCGAAGCCAGGGCGCTGCGGGCGGGGAGGGGGCGGGCCCTGCTTGAGCAAGATGGCGGCGCGCAGGCGCGAGCGGGGCCCGCGCGAACTCCCCCGACCCTCCGGATGTCGGGCTGGCGCCACTGTTCCGCCTTTGGAGGTGGGTAAGTTACAGTCTCCCCTTCCCATGCCAAGGTACTTGCTGTTGGACTGAGGCTGCGAATGTCGAAACCAATTCTCTTTATTCGAAATTCGATGTGGATACTTACGGAGGACCGCGGAAGTGTGCCCGCCGGGCCGAGCCCGCTACTTCCGGGCGAGCACGCGGCCCCCGCAGGGCCTCCCCGAGCGTCATCTTGCCGGAGCCGCTGCCCCCAGGGCAGATCCTGGGTTGAGCCGAGGACAGGTGCATGAGGAAGGAGGGGATCAGTGCCCTTCTCCAGGAAAGGAAGCCGGCCTGCGACCGAGGGGTTCAGGGACGGTGCGGGGGTCACACAACTGGAGTCAGTGTCGCCGATCCACCCAACGCCAAGCCCATGTTGTTTCCGACACCACGTGGTGCTAGAGGCCTTGACGGGCCTGGCCCTCTCTAGGCCTCAGTTTCCACATTTTAAAGTGGAACGTATCACTACCCAGCTGACAGCGACAAACACGCACAACAGGCTTTGGAAAGAAGTGTGAAAGCGTTGAGTGCGTGTGCCCAGGCAAGGAGCTGTCACAGCCCTTGACCTCTGGCCCCGAGGGATGTGCTTGTGCCAGCGGCCGGCTGGAAAGAAGCTCCACATCCTTGTAGAGTTGCTGAATTTCATGAGGCTGTCCCGAGACTGATTTATTGGTCTTCACAGGGTAGGTCAACAGGGGGGAACTTCTGAGTCCCCAGGGCCACGCGAACACGTGTGGGACTATCTATGCCTTAGGAAAGGAGAAAAGAATTTAGGGTTGGAGTTTTTTTAAGAATCATAAGCACAGTGGAATGCTATTTTGGTAGATTCTACCCCACCTTTTTGACCTGCAGAAACAGCATTTCATATGGCTCAACTTAATGTTTAATCCTCATGACCTCCCATTGAAGCCAGCTGTTCACTCCTGTTATGCAAATGAGGCTTAGACTTGGTCAAATTGACCAGTTAGGCGCTAAACTCAGAATTTGAACCCAGCTCCCTGTGGACTCCAAAGAAGTGGTTTTCATCAAGTGTCTGCTGACTGTTAAAGTAATGGGGACCTCACCAAGGGCCAAAGAAAATGTGATCAAGACCCACCTGATGTCACAGAATCTCCAGGAAGACTATGAGAGAATCTACTTCCATCCTTTGGGGCGTGGCTGCCAGCTTTCTCAACACAATTTTTTGAAGGGACTATCCTTTCCCTGTTGTCTATTTTTGCCTCCTTTGTTGTAAATTAATTGACACAAGTGCATGGATTTCTTTCTGGGCTCTGCTGTTCCATTAACTGATTTTTTTTTTAATGCCAACACCATACTTTTTGATTACTAAAGTTTTGCAATATAGTTCAAAATCAGGGAGTGTGATGCTTCCAGCTTTGTTTTTGTTTCTCAGTATTGCTTTGGCTATTCAGGGTCTTTTGTGGGTCCATACACATTTTGGGATTCTTCTATTTATGTGAAAAATGTCAGTGGAAGGTTGATAGGGATTGCATTACATTTATAAACTGCTTTGGGTAGTATGGGTTTTTAACAATATTAATTCTCCAAATTCATGAACACAAGTATCCTTCGATTTATTTGGTTCTTCTTACTTTCATAAATGTCTTGCAGTTTTCAGTGTACAGGTCTTTTACCTCTTTGATTAAATTTATTCCTAGGTATTTTATTCTTTTTCAAGCAATTGTAAATGGGAGTTTCTTGATTTTTCTGATAACTTTTTTTTAATTGGGTGGGGTTCTGTTTTTTTTTTTATGGTATTAATATTACAATTACATGAGGAACATTTTGGGTACTAGATTCCCCCCATTATCAAGTCCCCACCACATCCTCCATTACAGTCACTGTCCATCAGCGTAGTAAGATGCTACAGAGTCACTACTTGTCTTCTCTGTGCTATACTGCCTTCCATGTGCCCCACCCCACATTATGTGTGCTCATCATAACGCCCCCTTCTCCCCTTATCCCTCCCTTCCCACCCATCCTCCACAGTCCCTTTCCCTTTGGCAACTGTGAGTCCGTTCTTGGATTCTGTAAGTCTGCTGCTGTTTTGTTCCTTCAGTTTTTTTCTGTGTTGTTACACTCCACAGATGAGTGAAATCATTTGGTACTTGTCTTTCTCTGCCTGGCTTA